ACACGATAGCTCGTGTGACACGCTATTGAAAAGTTGCTGACACGACAGAAAATTTTCCCGCTAAGCGGGAAAGTTGTGCATATGTTGTGTTCATATCGGACAAACATTTTCAAGTGTACTGAGTTCTCGCCTGTCAATAAGCGAGATCTCGGTACACGAGAACACTTTTCGTCTCATGTCAACGCAGTGTAACTTTTTATATTATTTCACTATAACAGGGCGAGATCTCGCTTGTAAACTTGCCGAAATCTTTTCTCGCTAACCGAGATAACTTTCCCCCATATTAACAGGCCCTAATACATCACTATTAAATATAGCCCGATACAAATATAAATGAACACAAAGGCGGTTTATACTTTATAACTTTAACTTTGATTGCACACAGTTAAAGCCGCCTAGACGCTTTTATCGTATACTATTACCGGCGTGAATTAATAAACACACGTTATAGCATGTTTTAAAGCTTATTTCGTACCAGACTCTAAACTAATATAAAATAATATAATGTCAATAAATCTCCTAACGTCATCGCTGTACATTTCTTGTCTTGTTGACGAGCACCAAATTGAAATGATCTAGCGAGACTGGTTCTGGTGATATTGTTGTGCATGGATAGACTTGGTATGAATCTTCGATATATCGAGCTAGGCTTGTATTAAAGTATTAATAACAGATCTGTGTTCACCCTTTCTAGACTGGGCGGTCTTGCATAAAATTAATAATTGCAGCGGGAACCACTAAGTATTTTTACGCATACATTTTATATTTTTATATTGTCTTCATACTCCTGCAACTCAATTTGATCTTCGCGGTTAATAAACTTTCCCAACGAGTCAGAGGAGGCAAAAAATATGAGAGAAGAGAACTTGGTCTTTGTCGACCAATTAGAACTTCAAATATAACGTAAATGATACAGACCCCCACGAATACGAGGCAAAACAGTTGAACCAATGAGAGAGGAGAATTCCTCTTCAATCAACCGATCAGATACCTTATATAGATTACGTAAATAAGGCAGATCCCCACGACGATGAGGTAAAATCATTTTCGACCAATCGAATGCCCAGAATCTGCCTCAAGTAAGTCAAGGCCACTGAGCCCTCAAGGCCGCTTTTCATTCCCGATGAAGGATTAAATCTGGAGTACTAGATAATAAATATTAATTATCTGCGTAATTTTACTTTAGTCGCGTGCGACTTATTTGACAACCCCTAGATCCACCCACGCTTTAAAATTACACGCATGTGGAAACGATTCAAAACATGATAAGAAGGTAGATAATCTATATACAAAAAATTACCTCCTCCTGCCCACTAGGAGGTCAGGATAAAACACTGATCTGGAGTACCTTACAACAACCTCGGCAACACTTGCAATACATTTCATGATCTTTAGTCAGTCTCAGAAATTTATTGCAGGTCTTAGCATGCACAGGAATTCGCATATACTCTAACTAGCAGCTGACTCATATAATAGTAATATAAAACATAGCGTGTTTAGCAATAGCAATTTTTAACCGTTTTTATGTCACGCGTATAGTATTTCATGAAACGTTGGTTATATCACATAAATCCATGTTACGTGTATTTTGACTATGTTGCAGTCATTTCTGGTAACGTAAACGAATATATACATATATATATATATATATACATATATATATATATATATATATATATATATATATATATATATATATATATATTATATATATATATATATATATATATATATATATATATATATATATATATATATATATATATATATATATATCTTATGCATGTGTTTAGGAAATGCAGGAAGTGGCAAATTATAGCCTTTCTCACAAATTTAAAGATGAAAGATTCTATAGACAATTCGAACAACGTGAAAAGCGACTGTAACTGTAACTGTAAATTTACCATTATTAATTAATTAAATAAACATATAAATTACAAACAAACAACTACAATACTAATACGTTACATTTCGTGGTGCGGAGACTCTCAAACGTGGGAGAAGCAATACCCCCAAAATAGCGGGAAAACTGGCAGTGAGAAAGGCTAAGTAATTGTGCAGTATTACAATATAGTCATTCACCGCCTATGAGCTGTTCTGCAATCTGATCGGTTGACTTACTCGCCGTATATCAGCTCATATATACGGCGAGTAGCGAAAAACAAGACGGCGGTCCAAAAACCATGAGTTTTGCGAAGCAGAAAAAGGAAAATATTCACTTTGAGAAAGATATATAATAGTACAAGGTTAGCAAGATACATTTGTTACATAGAAATGAGTTTAAATACAAGTTTTTTAAAGAATTAATACCGAAACAACAGCGAAAGAAAACATGTTCATTGAGAATATAAATTGTTCAGAAAAGTTTGCAACGAAAGACAAATGAATTTGCAGTCAACAAGCACTTATTATACTACTAAACATCTGTATAATATATCTGAGCTTTTCTGTGAGACATACTGGTTCTAAAAACATTTCTTTTACTTTCAAAGTATTTCAAATTTTCAAGGCCAAGCAGTTTTTGGCCGAACAAATTGTCAAGACATTGTAACAGAGGATAATTAATTATTGCTTCAGTTAATGGCTATTAGACTATATTATAAAACAATTTTACCATTTGCTCTCGTCGTATATGACTGATAGCCGACTCGGTGCTCTACGCACCTCATCGGCTATCAGCTCATATACGACTCGAGCTCATGGTATAATTGTTAAATATACTAATATGTCATAACCTCTTTCGCACACGTAATCCGGTCTTTGTTTTTTGATAGCTATATACTCACTGCCTAAAATGGCGAACTGTATTAAAAGTGATTAATTGTGTGATATAAGTAGGCTATACAGAGATGTATATTGACACGTGTCAAGTGTTTGCTCATTTATGTCCTGTGTCGTGAACGTCGTTTATCGTTGGTAAAGTCGACTTCTGCATGGGTTGTAAAATGTGTTAAAATAGCATTTTCCACCGAAATATTATTTTATTTTTACCGACTCTATCACCATGCTGTTACGACTAGTTGACATTTCCATTACGCGACTCGTAAAACAAGTTGTCGAATCATATACAAATCGACCGTATGAAATTGACTTTGAACTTACGAAGTCGTTCATTTTGTGTTCACATTTCACATAATACAGTTCCATCATACATATATATACTGGCACTCAGCGTTCCAGATTATATATATTATTTCTTCTAAACTTTTAATTCTAGTATTACATTTTATAAGCTTTGATTTTGACAGGGCAAACATCAGTAGTTTTTATAACAAACGCTATAATTTATAGCCTGTATATATATAAATACATAACACATAAACAATGATATCAAATAAATCTGACCTTGCCAGTAAATTCCTTGAGATAACTGTAGATATATATTGAGTTAATTGGCTCACCACAACCAAAAGCGAATTAGATACTTGCTTAAGATACAGTCGCACTGCAGCTTCGCCCAATAATATTTGGCACTATAGCCTACCGATACCTCAGTCAGAAAACCCCCGTGAGAAGATCTGAAATGCAGAAGAGCACCCTCCCCCCCTATATGTGGTGTAGATGGGTTATTTGTGTATGTTTATGTAATATGAACCGCTTATCCTATAGAGTGATAAATCTGGATACATTAAGGAAAATTAGCGGAACACGAGGACGCGGAAAATATATCCTTATAATTTTGCGTGACTGATGAATCATTGCGTAGGCGATGGAAATCAGGAAAAAGTTTTTTTCTTCTTTTTTTAATAAAAATAATAATATTTATTATACCATCATCATTTCACATCACATTAAAATACGATTAAAAACATAAACATTTACTATTTAATAACAACTCTAAAAGTATAGTTGAAATGATATGCTCAGCTAATAATGGTTGTATGGCTTCATCTAAGAGTGGCTGAAGTGATGGTTCTTTACCACATCCAAGTACATACTTAATTTATCCAATGAGTAGCCATTGAGATGTTATATCCCTAAATTCATTATGCCTTGCTATTGGTATAGGCGACCATTTCCACATCTGCAATGATGCAGTATACATTTCAAATGCCATCCATATCGTAAACTTAACGCATCACAAAATTCACCCTTGTTCAAATTAAAACCCTGATCTTGTAGTGGTAATACCGATAACTATTCTCATTCTCACAAAGTAAATGCAACATTCTTTGTTGTGCCGGAAGTACACGTTTCCTTACTTAAACTTGCCTTGATTGATTGTAATTGAGATTTACTAAACGATCCTTTCAGCTTTATAATCATGTCTTTGAGGGGTTCAGTGTTTAAATGCATGTGGGGCATGGTACTCATCATTTGCGCTCGTGACTGGATTACTACGATATTTAGACACCGTAACGTGAAGGTAATGAAATGAATGCCTTTTCATCAAGATTACATGGTCCCCTTCCATTAATACTGGTATAAAAAATTGATTAATTGTGTATATATATATATATATATATATATATATATATATATATATATATATATATATATATATATATATATATATATAGCTTAAGGTTTTGGTTTACGAAACACAAACAGTGCTCAATAACATATAGATAGAGCGTAATATAGTTTTTCGTTTTACCTCAAAAAACCACAACAGTCTGTTTCATCCGTATAGGAATCATCATGATTCCTATAC